TTTTTCTAAAGTCACAATCTGAATTGTCTCTTTTTTTTTGCACATGTTTGCACTTTTTTTTCCTACCATGGTTTCTCAATGTCAACTTAATGTTTTTATCATCTTTAGAAAGGCAAAACCAGTTGAACGAATTTCAACCCTCCCTTGCATGAATCTAGACTATATCCAGAGCTTCCCTTTTTAGATCTAGATTGAGAAGTGAAAAGGAATCAAATCCATATCTTTCTCTGCAAGAGGTGTGACCCAGCCATTCTCTCCTGTACAATTCCTGCTCTCAAGTAATGCTGCACTCTTCTTTGATCAATCTCCTTGTAAAGCTAAAATGGTTTGAAATGATGAGAGACAGTGGACAGAGAAAAGGAGCATGTGGCGCTCACAATTATGGAGGTATTTACCCCTCAGTAAATTGTGACTTAGCCTCTTGGAGCTTCAGTTTCTTCCCCTGGAAATGGACATAATACCATCTACCATTTTGAACAGAGTTAGTGAGATTATGAATTATTAATTACTACAGTGTTTCAATTTACCATCTTATTTGTGTTTTCTCTCTTGATGTCATCAAAATCTGCACTTATTCATGGTAGTATATTGTGTGCATGAAGGACATCTTTCGTAAGTGGTAAAAAAGAAAAGTTTCAGAGAACTTGTTCTTAAAGAATGGATGAATTCCAGTCCTTTGGGAATTTCTCCATTGATGTTTTTCTTCTGATATATCTAGAAAGGCAAAGAACTCACATTTGGACACCTCAACAGGGTGCAGTGTGTCACTCTTCCTTGCTTTATATTCATGAAGAAACATAAGATCCGGCAGCTTCTCAAGCTGACACATTCTATAAGCATTAAAAGAGTCGGGCAAGGATGCTTGACTGAATTGAAGACCATCTTTCCTTCCTTTGGAAGAAGGTTTCAGGAGCCACCAACAAGGACAAACTCCTCTTGAAGTAGTTTGGCCTCACTTCTGACTCACAGAAAAAAAAAAATAGCCCAATAAGACCTTGATGTCCTTGATGTTGGGCAAGGCCATAATAATATTAGTTTAGAAAATTCTTAAAGCACAAAAGCTGTTGATTCTGCTTTTCACACAAATAGATGCACAAAACCAAATATATACTGATGACAGATCTTAAAAGCAACACAATCCTTAAATCAGCAAAATATGTCTGAAACATAAATTTGTGGGAAGCACGCAATCTAGAATTGTTTATAAGCAAATGCATTCCATCTTAAAAAAAGGAAAAAAAAAGAAAATTCTTAAAGCAGATATAATCAAATGCTCACCTCAGTAATAATACAATAAATCAATAAGAATCACAAAAAGGAAAGCACCCATAGAATACAACATTACAAACTTATTGTGTACTCTCCAATGGACATCCAATGAATATCCGTGTTGGATGTATTTGTTTGCTATGTCTGTTCACCCACGGGAGTCTGTGAAAAGTGAGTGAGATCCCTATGGCAGGTTTTTAGTTTGAACATCTTAGGTTTTCAATGAAAATTTTCAGATCGATTGCAATGTTTAAAATACAAAAGGAGTGAACACATTCTGAACCATCTAGAAAGCCATCCTGTGCCTGGGAACGGCCACATGATTTCACTGCTGAGGATTATATGTGAGTTTACACATTGGTACCAAATGATCACATCCAGCCAGAAATGCGTTAGGTGATCATGTCCTACTGTTAATGAGACAGCGATCATCATGTGTCTGCTATTGTACTCTTGTTGGATTCTTTTACTAATTATGAAGACAAAACTTCTCTTTTACAGTGATCAGCTATAATTGAAAGATATTTTCACAGACTAGAATTTTAGCTTCATAATTTATTTAATAAATCCAGAATGTTTTGACATCATGAAAATGACAGTGTGGTGGAATAATGTTCCACATTAATTGTCACAGGCTAATGAGAAAAGAACAGAGCAGACTTAATATATAAATGGGGTTTTTTGTATCAAATGAACAGTAAGTGACATCACAGAACATGGTAAAAAAAAATTACCCAGGTTTTATAGTTCAAGTAAAGAATTATGATTGAATAATTAAATGATCACAGGGCACATCACACAGTGGTATAATCATACCTAACGCCAGGAAATCCAAGGAAAGCAGCAAATCCCATCCATGTTGCTCTTGGGTATCTGTGAAAAATCTATCTTTGTACACACAATTTACAGAGGTTTGTGAGGATTACACAGAAATAGACAATGAACATTTTTTCATTAAATCATGCTTCAAAGTCACTTTTAGTTCATTTTGTGGGGAGGCTGGACTGCCACACAAATGAGTCCATGAAAACCATGAGTTGTGGCTTAAACTAATTATTTTTTAAAAAGGAAAATTATTATAGTGATGGCTATGATTCAAGGAATGATCCATCGGGCTCGACGTTACAAATATACAAGTTGACAGGAAGTGAAATAAACGACTATATGTTCTTTTTTATACAATTAAATTCACATAGATCATTTAGTTTTAGCAAAATAACAAAACATCATCTGTCACATTAAATTTTTTTGAAGAGTTTTGGCTACGTATTTTTATTTGTATATAATGTGAAGCTTTGTTTAGATACCTCACAATATAAGAATTATAATCACATTTTCACATACTTAGGTAAAATGTAATACAAAAAAAAAAAAAATTTGAGACCACAATGAAATCTTATGGTAATGTTTATTTTCCAATGCAAGTTTTCTTCATTTTGCTCCAGTACTATATAAGATTTTCTTTTCCATGAATAAAAGTTTTAGAAGTGAAATTTAACATAGAATACTTGCTACACGTACATCATTAGGTACTATTATTCTCACTTTAAAAACAAAAATATATCTTCTTGCGGGGCATGGTGCTACTTGCTTGTAATCCCAGCAGCTCAGGAGGCTGAGTCAGGAGAATTAAAAATTCAAAGCCAGCCTCAGCAATTTAGTGAGGCCCAAAGCAAGTTAGTGAGACCCTGTATCAAAATAAAAAGTAAAATGGATGAGGATGTGACTCAGCAGTTAAGTGCCCGTGTATTCAATCTCTGATACACCAAAATAAAATACTATCAAATAAAAAATAAAAATAAATAAAAGTACAGCTTCTGACAGAATAAATGACTTGTCCATAGTCACAAAATTACAGAATAACAGAATAACTATGGGAAGTAGAATATACATGGTTGCAATTTCTGTTTTTTCAAACAACAAAATACAGAGGGGCAGTTAACAAAAATAATGAGTTTCAGTTGTGGAAAGTTGACCTGGAGTCCCTATTCTTTGACAGTAATTGTACAATAAGAAGGAGGAATCTAATTAAGTTACAGCTAATCATAATGATAAAAGGTCACTTGAATAAGAATAGAAAGCATTCTATACTAGCTCAGAAGGACTCATCAAAATGGAAAATGTTTTAGCAATTGATGCATAAATATAACTCATCCTTTACTTTTAATGAAATATTAATGTTCATTATCAAGAGATGTAATTTATAAGAAAAATGTTTGTTTTTCTTCTGTGTGCTCTTCTTTCTTAACTTCTCTGTCTCTTCTACCTTCTCCTTCATTTTTAGGTTCTGTTCCTTTCTCCCATGTCACATGTCTCCTGATGTCTTTGTCCATATCTAGAGACATTTTTCCTATTTTGATCTTCCAAGCAAAAAGTTTTGTCTTCATAGTATGACATAGAGTGATATCAGTTCCACCTCTAGGGTAGGAGAAGAATATTCCAATCATTCATGGTGAACATAACACTCCAACCCCCGAGAATCCAAAGTTGTTTAATACGGAATTTACAGTATTTTCTGGAAGGCAAGAGTACATCAGGAAGAGATAAGACCTTTTTCAATAAAAGCAAATAAAATATTTACTGAGCACCTACCACATGCAAGGGCTAGATTTATAGGTAGGGAATAAAAATGAGAATAGGGCAGGCATTGTCTTCAGATTGGACACACAAAACTTCAAATTATAATGCAAGCTAAATAATTGTTTGAGGTGATTATAATAAAAGGTAATATAAGACTAATGTGTAAATATAGTGAAGACAAATGCAGAGTTGTAACAAGACATAGATGGAATTGCAGGTCTATTCTGAAAAATTTATAAGGAATTTTATCATTGGAGAAATGAAAATGCAGAATTATTGTTGGGTTAAAGTTTTAAATCATTCTGATCAATTGCATGTTATTCAAGTCAAAAACAAAATGTCCTAATAAAACTCCAAAGCACTAATGAAGATTTCCATCTGGAGAAATCAGATATCATTATCAAGAGTAGTAAGGAAAATAGTGAAGGCTAGTAATGGTTAAAGAAATAGTTATGGTTGTAGTTACCACTTACATGGAAAACCTACTGTACTTACATGCCAAAAACTTCATACAGTATTCCAGACTCAGAATGAATATTAAAGATTAAATGTGGCAGGTCATGAGTGGCAATTATAAACTTTATTTTTTTTCCATAACTATGGGTTTCCATCTTTTACATTCGAATCTGGCTTAACTTAAATCTCAGAAACTGTCTGAGATGTGATTGGTATAAAAAGAGAAACTATTATTTCAGGACAAAGCAAAGTGAAAAAAAGCTCTTCCTTGCACACATGTTTCCAGTTTTGCTGCTTAATTTTGGAAAGAGGTAATTCCATGTCAAAATTAGGCCAAGTGAAAAATGCACACACAGTAATCTTCATTTTCATTATCTGGAGTAGTTCAAAAAGCTCAAAAAATGGAACTCTTCTCAAAGAAAGGAATGCCTGTTCAGGTAATTACAAATAACAGACGCATCTGGTTATCTTAATTGTTTGGGAATGTCTCAATTAGCTGAGGATGTTTTCATGATGACTTGGAGACAGTGAAAATTTTTCACAGCAGATTGAATTCAGTGGTGAGAGGAAATATAGGCAGCTCACCCTGAAGTCTATTAATGACTATAGAATCGGTTCAGAGATCCATATCTTTTGAATTTTATTTGCCTGTAAAGATAATATAAATGTTTTTTTTTTCTTTTTAATCTCTGCAGTTTCATGGTTGGTCTGAAGAGGAGGCAGAACGGTCCATCCTTTAGGTACCCAAGCTAAGGTAGGTCACATCCAGCCTCAAGATTTCCATCATGATCACAGCTCTACCTGTTTAAAGAAATTGTTTCTCCCTGAGATTTGCTTCTCTGGCTCCCTCATCACTTTGGGTTGGCTCTTTGAGAAGCTTAGAATGATCCAGAACGACAGGTACATCTTCAATCTGTTTTAGGACTGATGGTTTAGGGACACCTTGAAAATATCCATACCAGCATACTTGGTTTGGATATGTGTGACTTGTTGGCCAAAGTTTCACGTACTGGAGCTGGGTCCCCAGCGTGGTGGTTTGCAAGTGGTGAGTCCTAGGTGGAGCCTAGTGGGAGGTAATTAGGTCATCAGGGCTCTATCTTCATGAATGGATTGGTGGGTCATGTCAGAATGGCTGACATGAATGGGCTGTTAGCAGCAAACCTAGAGACTCCCTATGTCACTCTTCCACAGGTGCTGCTGACTGCTGCATTCATGGTGCCACCTCAGGGACGCCATCATCCATGAGGCCCTCACTGGAGCCAAGCAGGTACTGGTGCCATGCTCTGAAACCTCTAGAACTGTGAGCTCAGTAAAGCTCTTTCCTAATAAAGCAACCAGCCCCTTGTATTTTGGAATAGCAACACAAGATGGGCTTATACAGGTATGCAGCAAGATTGTTTGTCTAGATCTGCCAACATAGAATTGCCACTGCACAGCCCTTTATGCTTCCATAGGTAAAATTCCGTATGGATCTTGTCCTTTTCCAATGTTTATTTCTTTATATTTTTTAGAAGAAACATAGTCGTCAACCACAGGAACGTACATAAGCAATTACTATGATTTCCGACTAACCCATGTGTCGTACTTCCAAACTTTTTTTCCTGGGTGAAACTTTCGTGCTCTTGGCTTCTACTCAACTTTCGTGCTTTTGGCTTATTAACATAGCTTAAAAGAGATAGCTTTGTCTGTTCCAAGGGAAATTTCCAATGAGATTGTTTAGAAGCCCTTCAACACTGATTTTTTTCAATCCTGACAAAAACACTCTCAAGCCAGAGGAAACATTTATAATTCCTAGTGAAGAGGCTATGAGCCATTAGAAGTCACTAATTCTTGGCTTAATAACCACCTTTACATAGAGAACATGAGTCGGGTTAAATCCTATAGACAGAAGGAATACACACCTGGGGTTAATCTAACCAGCAAGTGGATGCCCCATTGCCACAAACAAGTTCGGATCAATAGTATTTATCTGGCTGTCCTTGATATAGAACATGAGCTCCTCCTCTAAATCTTTCCTGCCTATAGTGATCAGCAGGGGAAACCTAATGTTCTGTAATAATTAACTGCTCCTGAAAAAGAAGTCAGTCTCTCTTAATTTTTCATTGCAGTTCCACACACACAGCATCTATACTTAGAGAGTACTTACTGCAGAGCAGGGTACAAATGGGAGAGGGTAGAGAAAGAGGGAGATGTCTGGGAAGTAAATATATGCTTAATTAGAATGCAAAGCCTCAGAGTTCTATCTTTCAACTTTTTTTTTTCTGTAGATTCACCTTTTCCAAAGTAGAATACTCCTTGCTATTTAACAGAGATTTGCAGCATTAGAAGACTCCCTCATTAATTGGGCAAGTAATCAACAGTATTTCATTATGAAATTCTGGTTCCTTAGAAGCAAAAACATTGGTTTACTATGTCATAAATTAATACATAAAGATAGAGATTCCAAGTGCTGGGCTATTAAGGCTTCTCTTTGCCATTCATTCTTTTACCTGATCCCTGCTTGCTCACTGTGTAGATGTTGGACAACTCATGGTTGGGTTCCAAACAAACCCTTCTGGCTTTGGCTGATAACTAACAATACCTTTTCTTACATTGGCTGAAAAGTTTTTATTCTTGAATTTAATGCTTACTGTGTTAGTCAGCTTTACTGACTTGTGTTAGTTATTATTATTATTATTATTATAATAAATTACCTGAGATAATCAACTTATAAATAAAGAGGGTTATTCTGGCTTATGATTTGAAGGTTTCAGTCCATGATCAGTTGGCCCCATTGTTTGGGTCTGTTACTATTGTAGATTAGAATCACTTTCCATGTCAGAAAAGTAATAGCATGTAGTTTGTTGGCAAGCCATTTGCATATTCAGTCAAACCCAGTTCTGCTTGCCTTGCTGTGCATCTAGTGAGATCTATAACCTCTTTGAGGGCAGGAAGTGCTGTGCTTGACTAGTGGTAGGTTTTTAGGATAGGCAGAGGAGAGACACATCTGTGAGGCTGAAATCATAGATAAATTCCTCCAACAGGGATTCTGGACGGATTCTTCAGACTTTATGGAAGTAAAAATTAAATATTACTGTTATTTGGGTAAGTGGCTGATTTCATTAACAAAAGAAAATCGAGAAAAGTTTACAATGTGAGAGATGACCTACAGATTTTGGAGACCAATATTCATGTATTACAAAATAGGAAACAAAGGTGAGACGTTGTTCCAAATTCAGCCGGTGACACATTTTGTCAAGTTTAATAAGTGCAGGTAGACTGACACCACAGGCACACACACACACACACACACACACACACATTGGTGAAGAGAATACCAGAGATGCAAGACAAGTGACTCAGAACTCTACAAAAAAAAAAAAAATGATCCAAAGGAGAAGGAGGAGGACTCTGGCTCCACAGGACAGTTAAGAGTGTTCAGCCTTCACAGTCACAGGGCAATGGCCTCAGATCTCCACCATGTGGCCTGGGAAAGTTGCCTTGCCTCTATGAGCCTCTGTCTCTTCACCAGAGAAGTGAAGGTAGTGATGGAATTTGTTGGATGATATTGAAACTCTAGTGACACAAGACCCTCAAAGTTGAAGAGCTATCAAACAAATGCAGACTCATTAACACAAATACTCAGATCTTGTTCCCCAATAGTGACCTGATTTCTTTAGACATATTACACCGACAGAGTTCTTTCTCTCAAATCGTTCCAAGTCCGGGTGGTTTTCCTCTTTCTGCTGATCTGTCCTTATTTTTCACCTCTGCCATAATTAGCTCAGCTGAGAGGCCAAAGACTTATACTCAGAAGATTCCCCAAGAGGTCATATTGCAAGAGAAAACCCTGCTCTCTCCATTCACATTAGAGAGGAGGTACTGACTAAGGCACTCACCCCCACTGTCTCACCAGTGGAGGAAGAGCCAGGGCCAAAGGGAGGGGCCAGTTTCCCCATCATGGGACGTCTTTGCCACTGAAGTCATTGGAACTTGAGGGGTCTGTGAACTGCATCTTTTTATTTAAAGTCAGGAGCACACTGGCCCCTCTTTGTAGGAGTGTCTGAGTTGGAGGAGCAGGGGTGGGTTGCCATGACAAGATTGAAGTCTCAAGTCTGATATCTTTCACTGTTAGAGTCTTAGGTCACCAGAGTAGCTGCAACAGAGTAATCCTAGCAACCACCACCATGTTGTATCAAGAACTGTAGCTTCTGGCCAAGCTCTATTACTGGGCCGGCTTGGGGCTAGACTTTATCTTCACTTATAATACAGTATTACAGAGATCTAGTCTCCAACAGTATGCATGTGTGTCTTCCTCTCTCTTTCTTCTCCTTCATTCCATGTATCTACTTCTGTGAGGTCAGTGAACACAAGTCATATGGATTATTCCTAACTCTACTATTTTTCTTTTTTTTTTTTAATTTTGTATGAGGGATTGTACCTAGAGCCACATCCTCAGCCCTTCTTATTTTTTATTTGGAACTTATGATCCTCCTGTCTTGGCTTCCCAAGTTGCTGGGATTACAGGTGTGTACAACCACACCCGATCCTTATTCTATTCTTGAACTATAGAACTCTTAATCTTCTGGCCTTGTACACGAATGTCAAAGCACTCAATAAATATTTGACAGTTACCACACATAAGAAAAGAAAGTCAAGAAAGAGCAACAGGTTAGGTAGAGCTCTGAAAAGGGAAGCTATGTGAGCACCTCTCCAGAAAAATCAAGCTGAAATTAAAGAGTTTAATTGAGTCAAAATAAACTGAATGTTGGCTGAACTTCACCGCTGAGTATGAAACAGATATATGGGCTTACATGTTAATTGGATAATTGGTACACTGCTGTCAGTTCAAATATACAGTTGCAGATTTAGCCAGATTGCAATAGTTCACAGCTCACTTTAAGGTTGGTTGTTTATTTTTATGTACACAATATTCCTAATCAGTGCCACTCTACATATTCCATGGAGGAGGAAGAATGGTGGGCACAGTTAGAAAGGCCTGGAAAAAATCCAGAAGAGGACTGCTAATCGAGAAGTGTCTCAACTTTCACAGGAAAATGATGGAATCTTAGTATAAGAAGGCTTAATGCCTTGAAATCACACTGTCAAGGGTAAGAAAAAGATTCTGGTGATGACTCAATATATAGGTTGGATGTTGTTTTGAAAACAATAATATTTGCCATTGTAGATGGTTTATAGAGACGTGAGGACAAACATGTCACATTGTTATTTCATTTAGAAGGGACAGAGCTAAGGATGTTAGAGTCACAGCAAGTAGACAAGAGCATTCATTCTGTTTCCCATTCTGTCTGAGCTGCAGAGAGGGATTGGCTGTCTCTGAGTTCTTATATTCAATAACTTGACTTTACAGATCTTCTATCACAAAGTGGTATCCACTTGCCTATCTCTTCCATCTAGGCTAGTTTGAGGGACTTGCCCAGTGGACTATGGCAGGAAAGATAACATGCCACTTCAGAGGCTGAACCTCAGGATCCCGGTTCTCTGTCTTTTTCACTATCAGAACAAGTCTACTCTAGTGGGCTGCAAGAAGAGAGACCATGAGGAGCAAACCAAATTAGCTCAGGTTTCCCACCCAAGACCCCAGACATGCAAAAGAACCAGCGAAGTATGTGAAGCCACCCAACTGACCTGAAGATGATGTCAGAGGCATGAGTGAGCCTAACAGCCCAGAGCTGCCTGATAGACCCATTGCCTCGTGAGTGATTCATAACTATTGTATTAAGACAGACCAGTGCAGAATGGTGGTGATTATTGCCCCTTATTGCAACAATAGACAACTGATATGGAGACATTGGTGTCTGATGGAATTTGTCTCCCTCTGTAATATTAATGTGGCTGTGACTTCTGGTGGAGTGGATGAGATGTCCATAATTTGACTAGAGATAAAAAGATGAATATGAGAAGATGAATACAAAGAAACACACACTTATGTTGATCTATATAACGTATACACGCAGAGTGGTAGATGTGATTACATATATGTGTGCATATAACCACAGGTCTGTTGGTACGACCACATTTAAACATATATATTTACCTGTCTCTAGATCAATGAGCACAAATTGTAAACTCAGACAAGATGCTTTACACAGAGCTCCTCCACCTGAGATATTCATCTTCATATTAAGAGAAGTTACTCATTTCTGTCATCTGGGATTTATTCATGGTGTTCTCAATGGCAGATCCTGTGCACTGATATAGCCTGGGCCAGAGCAGATTTATTCAGTAGGTTGGGTAACTAACATATCTTGCAATTTAGCCAAATAC